GATGGTAAACGGATCTAAAGGGCATAGCCGCGTGGCTTATGAGGGAAGAAGCGGCTGTGCAAAGGCTATGAGCGATGGAGTCATAAGCGGAGACGGAAATAAATGAAAACCTTCTGCTGATTACCGTGTGGCACGAAATCTTTGTGGGTTCTAATTTTTGCGATTTTTAGCTGATTTTTCCAGCGATCCGCCAAAATATGTTAATGCAAGAAATAATTACCGCAAACATTTTTCCCCAAACGTTTACTCCACAGTATTAAAACTTAAATTTGCTACACAAAAATACAGCACTAAGAAATCATGTCTGTTCAATCACAACTTGTCTCTTTCATTCAGAAACAAAACGGTAGACAACGAAATATTGGTTTATTGTTTGAAAATATGTATTTCTATCGCACGTACTCAATAAAAAGGAAAATATTATAATTGCTGGGTTCTGGGTACTTTCTGAACATCGCAAAAACTAATTCTCACCAAGAAAAACCGGTCTTGCCTAATCAAGAGAGAATGATCTAGCTCATTCTCTCTTGTCCTAATCGAAACAATTAGTTCCCACAAAACACAAAAAATCGCCAATTCGCAAAAAATAAACTCCCGCAAAAATTTCGTGCCGCACGGGGATTCCGACCCCGGTTCTTCGCGCTTGTCAAGACCCTGCTTGCATCTTCGACTTCTGAACTTTACTGAGTCACAAGACTTCTTAAGACTCCTCTTTAAATAGTCTTTAAATTCCAGGCCAATCCTAGCTTCGTCATTTTGGGCCAGTTCAACAAAGGAAAACATTGTTTGACTTCAGAAAGCGCAAAATTCTGCGGTTAAGATTGTCACCGGGGCAAGAAAATTTGCCGCCATATGAATTAAAACAGCTCCATTAGTTGTCAGTTGCTCGGCAACTTGTAGTCAGAGACGCTGTAATAGCATTTAAATGTTTGCACGGACTAGCCCTAGAATATCTGCGCAGCAAATTCATTGTTGGAACTCATGTCCACTCTGTCAATACTGGACACAGAAAGGAAATGGATGGAACGCTGTTCAGAACAGCTACCGGCCAGCGGGGCACTTGTGAGTGACTCGGCTTTGGAATAAATTGCCTCGGGACTCTGACAGGTGTGAATAGTTGTCTGCTCTTAAGAGTCGCGCTTTTTGGAAAATTTCGTAGTTTCGTAGTTTCATAGAACCTAACTAACTAACTAACCAAAATAGCTTTTATATGTTCGTAGCTTTTTTACCGTAATTGTTACTGAACAACCATTTCACAGGAGTGAGAAACAAATTATTTATTTATTTATTATTTATTAACCAGAGCAAGAATTCTCCATCACATTTTTTTATTCGAAAATTTTAGGTTTCAGTTCTTCTACTAAAAAAAGCCCAACCTTGGGAGTAAAATGGAAAAATGAAAGGCCAGAAAAATCGTAGGGATTTTATTAGATAAGCTTCGAAAATTGTACATGAATGGTACGGTCATCTAGAAATGTTTAGTCGTCCTCGAGTTATAGAAAATCCTAAGAAATATTTGCCTCTCCGAACAGATATTTTATAGAAAACAGTCGTTGGGTTCCCTTGAGAAATTTCATTCCATAACGCCAAAAATTGTCGATCTGGTGGCTCCTTCTGGCTTGATAAGCAATGCACTTACTTAAAAAACCTCTTCAAGTTTTTCCCGTCCTTGTCAGATGAGTCGATTTTCGGCGGATTCTGCTTGTGTTTCCCGTACAATCCTCCATGTTTAGTTATGTTTCGAAAGGGATGTATTTATCAGCCAAACGCCCGAGGGTGGCCCCCGGGTGGGCAAATGCACGACCCAGGGCCGAGGATAATTTTCTAAAACCCCACCGCCAGGAATGACATGGCGGGCAAATGCCCCGCAGTTGCCCGGTGGGGGAGGGCATGGGCGCACCTTGTATTGACTGATGCTTCAAGGTAAGCGTGCTTTCTTTTGCCGGAAATGTCAGTTAAAACTTAAACAGGATAATCAAATAGACGACAACATTTCCTCGAAAAAGCGCCTACGGTCTAATTAGCGCTCGCCCCAAAAGCCATAATATCGAATCTGCCTAGACTTTCTAGCCTGTTCCACGCTTTAAGATCGTGGGCAACCTCGTCCCCAGGGCTTTTCCCTTCCCACCCATTTTTTAAGGGAAAAGCCCTGGGGACGAAGTTGGATCGTGGGGACAGAGCAAAGAGGTCAAAGGGATGTGAGTTGAAAAAAAACAACAACAACGAGAGGGTGTGGTAGGGGTGAGTTCACTTCTCTCTTCCTCTCCCTCTTTTCCTCCTAATTTTTTATTTATCGCTCTCTAACAACAACAACAACAGTTTATTCAATTGTCAAATAATTTAGGTCTATGTTACCCACAATTAGCGGAGCTATTCTAGGTGGGCAACAATACAGTAATTGTCTTCTATAAAGTCGGGAAGAAAACGTAAATAAAGAGAAAGCAAAAATAAAATGAAATAAATAAAAAAATAAAAGGTAGCACCTACAGATATAAGAAAGGAAAACACTTTAACTGAATAAGGAGTTCAGGTAGGAACTGGTAGTGGCACTCATATCAACAGACACCGTCTTAGTCCAAAACCTTGATCAGTAATTTATGTAATTTACCCTTGAAAGGGTCTTTGTGCTGTTCACGTAACGTAAGAGGAATTTTGTTCCAAATTCTTACACCACTACTAGAAAAAGATAACAATAGCTGATTGAGTCTAGATCTCTGGACATAAAAATTACCTGAGGCAGAAAATCTGGTATAACGAGAGTGGATCATGTTAGAACGGACGAACACTTCAGAAATTTTAGAAGGAGCCCGGTTATTGGAGATATCGTGCATTAGGATGGCCGAATATTTAAAGTACAGCATATTCAGAGGCAAAACACCAAAGCTGACGAACAAAGGTATGGCATGCATTCTCCTGTCAGAAAAGTACATTAACCGTAGAGCTCATTTTTGCAATATTATACTTGTGGCAGCTTGTCCCCATGCAATTAGTCCATAGAAAATGTACGGTTCGATTAAGGAACAATAAATTTTTAAGAGAGTACTGGTAGACACTAAATGCCAAAGCCTGGCAATGATGCCAACCCCCTTGCTTATTTTTGACGAAATATAGTCTATGTGGTACCTCAAAGAGAGGTGACTATCAATCAAAACTCCGAGGTATTTCACAAAATGTTTTTGTTCAAGAGAAGTCAATATCTTTCAGTCATTGTCATACATTTTTAAGGTTACGTTGTAATCAGGCTTACGTTGAAAGGGATGAAAAATGACAAAATTAGATTTGCTTGTGTTTAGTGATAATTTGTTTGTATTAAGCCTTTCGCAGACTTCCCTTAGTTCTTCGGCTGACAGAGGACCGGAGGCGCATGCGTGATAGGGGAGAACTGGTTGCGATAGTCTCTATGGACCTTTCTAAAGCTTTTGATGTCATTCATGCATGACTTACTCTTGGCAAAACTCAAAGCATATGGAGTTGGCTAAGGAAGTTGCGCGCTACTTAAGAACTACTTGTCAGGAAGACAGCAGCGAGTAAAGATTGGAGATACCTTCTCCAACTGGGCGGGCACTAGAAGAGGAGTTCCACAGGGGAGCGTTTTAGGACCAATGTTTTTCAATATATTTATTAATGACTTGTTTCAGCATGTGAAATATGCAAAACTAAACGCATACGCAGACGACCATCAGATTTACTCGTCTAGCCTAGACCCACTCGCACTGGAAGAGTGCATTTGTCAAGAAGTTAATGTCGCAAATCAGTGGTATAAAAACAATGGCATGATTGTGAACGAGAAAAAGCACTAACCTCTAATCCTGGGAAAAACTGAGCACAATTTTAGTTTCTCAGTAAATAACTCAATAGATGTAGTTGGGATGACAATAGATAATAGGCTCTCTTTTGATAACCACGTATCAGTTATCCGTAAGAAAATAAATAATCAATTTAACGCAATGCTTACATTTCGGAAACTTATTAATAAGGGGACGCTATTGAAGCTTTTTTTTATTTGAAGCCTTTATTTTGCCACATTTTTACTACTGTTCTTCTGTGTGGCATTTCTGTGGTGCGCATAATGCCGACAAAGTGGATAACCTAAATAAGCGCATTTTTAGGTTTACCGTAAATCCCCCATTTAGCCCCCCCTCTCAAATAAGCCCCCCCTCTCCAATAAGTCCCCCCCCCCTTTTCAGAGGAGGAAAGTTAATAAGCCCCCCCCCTCCCCCTCCCCCAATCCTTATTCTTCACAAAAAAAATTAACGATTAACGTGGACTGATCAGTTATGGTTTATTCAGGCTGAAAGTTCATATTGTTTTGGGTCTTTGGTCGCATGACCCCCAATTTCATATGCTTGACTTTCTCAACTTTGCGCTCTAGTTCTCTGTGGAGAACATTTTTGAAGAATAAGAATTTTGTTTTTGTTACTTTTAGGCTCCCACAAGTGAAATAAATACTTTTGACAGTAACTTTAATTGTACAACGCGTAACTCTACTCTGTCTCATACCACGGTGTTTTTGCTACAGGTGATGCGTTTTGCTAAATTAAATAAGCCCCCCCTCAAAAGTGCTTGATAGAGGATTTACGGTATACTAAAGGACTACAGCTCTCCATATGACATTTTACTAAGCAAAGTTAACATGAAATCTCTATTCATAAGACGCCTCCAGAACTTCATGATCACATCACATAAGAGTCTGTTCTTTACGAATTATCCAAGTTATTTAAAAGATATGTTCATCGTACGGTCTTCATCCTACAATTTGGGCGGAAATCATATCCTGGCCCTTCCTAACCCAAAAACAACGACTTACGGTCTGCACTCTTTTTCATACTTAGCCGGCAAAATATGGAACTCTCTCCCAGACACTTACTAAACATTAAATTTCCCAGAATTCAAGCAGGAGATCCTCAGATATGGAGCTTTTCCACAGTAGATTTACAAGTTATATTCCTCTTTGCATGCATAATGTTGTATTTAGTTTATAAATAATAATAGAATTGTAATATAACATATTTTATTTTATTTTAACTTATTTTCTCGAATACATTAGCTCTACACCTACTCTGTAAATTTCGAGCATAAATAAAGTATATGTATATGTATGTATGTATATATTCAATATCCAAAATTGCGTGTTAAGTAGAACAGTTTGCTCGGAAACCATACTGTGCATTATAAAGAATGTGTTATTTTTTTTCGATAAAGGAGGTGAGGCGTTTACGCATCAGTCTTTCGAACAATCGATTGAACACAGATAGTAATGAAATTGGCCGATAATTGCCTAGCTCAGTTCTGTCACCTGTCTTATAGACTGCAGGGGCGTAGCCAGGATTTTTCAAAGGGGGAGGGGTGGTCACAGAGGCTACTCACTGCTGCTCTCTTTCGTGTATCAGCGGGCTCAGTCGTATTATCGCGGCTTGAAGGCCCATATTAACTAAAGACAAGAGCCGTTGACGAAAATACTTTACAAAAAAACAAATTTAAAAAAGTGGGCTTTTCAACAATGGCTTTTACGACCAAGATATTGTCATGGCGTTTTCGCCACCTGAATATTGTAGCTTGTTTGGTCTTTTACGTCATCAGTATGGAATTTCTGTCGCTGACTCGCAGACTTTCCTCCCCACGAAACGTCCCCAGCGGCGAGGAGCGAGGAGAAACGGCTGTTTTCGCAGGCTAACATAAGATGTGTCCTAAATGTTCACTGCCCTGCATAGGCTGCAGGAACAGAGCTCCGAAAATATATTTTTCGGAGGGAGAGAAGCGACGACCGGAAATATACGTCTGCGCTTCGCAGGCTAGGAAAAGGAAGGAGAGCTTGAAACTACTTATCTGGGATTCAGTTTCAGCTCTGTCTGGAATTTGAATATCTGCATCGAAATAGTCGATGCGAAGTGCTGATTGGCGGAGATTACATTAGCAATGACGTCCTTACCCTTGGCCCGTGTTTTTCAGAGTTTGTTTACATTCGCGTTATGCGCTGATTGGCAGAAATCTGACAGTTGTGACGGCGAGCTACAGGGCCTGTTTCAGGCGTTTGGGTAGAGGAGTGCGGCGCGAAGGAAGTGAAAGCCTAGTTCCCAGGGTTCTCTCCAACCCGCCCTACGGAGCGAGAGAGAGAGAGCTCTCTCTCTCTCTCTCGCTCCGCAGGAAGGGTAGGTGAGAACCCTGGGAACGAGGTTGAGGAAGAGAGCGAAAAAAAAATTAAGGAGGAAAGAGGGCGAGGGAGAGAGAAGGGAACCTTAACTCGCTCTCACCCCTACCCCACCCCCTCGTCGTTGTGTTTTTTTTTTCTGCTTACATCTTTTTTCGCCTTCGCCACTGCTGGGTTACCTGTGGCCTCACGAGCCTGTGACCTGTCATGACATAAGCCTCGTTTCAGTGAGAAGTTGTCGGTGGAGTCGTGCTTTCATCGTGCCGCAGCAGCGTTTCATAGTATGTGAGGGAGTTTACTTATTCATCTACACACATGAAGTTAAAGATACGGACTGTATTGCTTAACTGATGTAGAAGAACACCATCCAAGCAGCGGTGAGTAAAATTGCACCAGTTATGCCACTATGTTTGCCGCATTTTTGCACGCCCCTTCCGATTCTCGCAATCAGCTGAATCAGCTGAATGAAATCAATTGTTGCTCTGAATGAAAATATTTAGGCGTGAAACTGGTTATTAACATTGGAAAACCGTTTAGATCGTTTACTTTTAACGGTGTGTGGAGTTTTATCGGAAATGAAAAGCTGCATTCTTCCAAATTTCTGGATGTGATTGGCTTGTTTAGAGCGTGTCATCCCGGGATGATAAAATGGGACCACAGGTAGCCCACACAATCTGTTTGCGTAACCGATGTAATTTGCTTTATCTTCGGTAAATTTTGTCCTTTTGCCTCAGAAGTGGTATTTCCAGCGATTTTGAAGGATTTTGAGTTCGCTGTTCCTCTTAATAGAAGGACAAGGGTGGAATAAATTTTTGAACGGCCCCAGCACTAGAGCGATTTTCCCTCAGAAAATCACGTCGCTCCGCCTTCAAACCTCGCAGCAGAAAGCTCGTAACATTCACCCTTGTTCTTGTACCTTCCAATCAAAGATCCATCCAAAAGGCCCGGAACTAGGCCTCGAAGAAAACTAAAATTTCAAAGTTTTTGAACGGTCAAAATGCGTAGCAAGAGTTATGTGTGGCGGCCAGAAACGGTCCCACTGATTGCCTCTTTTTAACTGGATTTTTTTTAACCAAATGCTTACACAACTAGACCCCGACTTTACTGGGCTGCCCGGCATAAAACCTGTGTTGAATGAGAACGAGAAGTTTTCTAGAACAGACAGCCAACAGCTTATTATAAAGGGAATTAACCCATTAAACCTCACTCAAGCAGCTGTACCAAGACTTTAAATAGATGATAATCTTATTTTAAAACTTATGGTCGACACGAAAATGCATTTTGCCACAAAAAAAAATGTTCTGTTTCAAGATTTTTCCTTTTGTTTCTTGTTATTTGTCTTGAAGTTAAAGGAATTAGCTGTTTGCATTTTCTGACCTCGAAAAGTTTAAAGATTTGATTACTCACATGTCAATTTCATTGGAATGAACGTTAAAAAAATGTCAACAGATAAAACGGTAGATAATGCAGTGTTTTTTATTCCCGTGGGGTACTCACTTATATGAGCCATATAGGTATGTGCCACCCCAGTGGGTAGGGTTTTTGCTCCTTTTTAACTTGTGGGGATGCGCGAGCATACCATGAGTTATTGCAGGGACTAGGATATGCAAATTAGTCACTTGCTCACTCGTAGTAGATGGTTCAATCTCGGTGGTTTTTTAGAGCTTCCATTTGACGATAAAGACTCAGTTATGGCAGATAAAGGATTCACAATTCAGGATTTGTTGCCTTTGGGAGTTACTTTAAATTTGCCACCTTTTCTTGGATTATCTGCACATATGGCTGCAGAGGATGTGGTAGCCACCCAGGAAATCGCTAGTTTAAGAATTCATGCTGAGCGTGCCATAAACAAGATAAAAAACTTTCACATCTGGGATAGAGTTGTTCCATTACATCAGATGGGAATTGTAAACCAGATGTGGGCAGTATGTGCATTCTGTTGCAATGCGCAGCCCAACATCATATCCATATGACTTTCCCATGTATTTGAAATTTTAACAATGCTAATTGAAAATCTATTGTTACAAACACAACAGCTCCCTTAAAATTCAATATCACTTTGAAAATCTTAGTTACGGGGAAGATATTTGAAATCCAAGACTAGGATAACT